TGAGGGATGTCCGCCCCCCCCCCCCCAGCAAATTAAATTTGCAGCCATGCTTTACTCTTTCATGTGAAAAGGTTTGTTTTTAAAGTGCAGAATGGTGGAAAAGCCAGTGGAGACTTGTGTGTGATACCACAAGTTTAGATTAGCACAGCTGAATTACCCAGAGGGACAGGAACTGCAGGGGGCAGTCGAAGTTTCCTATTTCCTATTACTTCACTGCTGCCCATCAGGCCTATTCAGAGGCCATCTAGCTTCTTCCAGAAGCAGGGGGCCTAACTCTCTAGTGCTTGCTCACACCACAGCAGCAGAACTGCGAATGGAGGGGAGTAGCCAGAGGGCCCCAGAGGGCCAGAACTGAGCTGATGGGGACAGTTTCTAGACCAGTGGTAGCTCACCAGGTGCCTATACATTCCTTAGACCCAGAGAAAGATCACAAAAATATCCGTTCTAAGTTTTGCTTTTGTTTTTTATATGCTTAGCTGAGCGCTTCATTTCTGGTACTTTTCCTCGTTTATGTTTTGTGTCTGTGACAGAATAGAATGGGGATGGGGGCGTAGCAGCTCAAGATATTTTTCATTACTCAGAACTAGTTTATTGAAGGGAAAGGTCTGCAAATGGCAACCCCTGCTTTATAGTCGCCTAAGGCATAAGTAGAGTTTGCGGTTTTTGAAACATTTCCTCGTACGTTTAAAACTTAACCTCAAAGGGTGATCTTGGGCCAAGCACACAGCCTTACCTACCTCACAGGGTTGTTGTGAGGATAAAGTGGAGGCAAAAAGAATGATGCAAACCATGGTCACCCAGCAAGACCCAAGGTCATCCAGCAACCTTCAGTGGCAGAGTGGGGATTCGTACTTGGTCTCCCAGATCCTAGTATAGTCCTCGGACCACTGCATCACACAACATGCTCCCATAGTGCTCAGTGGGAATAAAGGATGTTTTACTTGCTGTAGATTGGTGAAGATGGGTAACCATGTTGAATTATGGTGCTGGAGAAGACTCTTGAGAGTCCCCTGGACTGCAAGGAGATCAAATCAGTCAATCCTTAAAGAAATCAACCCTGACTGTTCCCTGGAAGGCCAGATACTGAAGCTGAAGCTCAAGTACTTTGGCCACCAAATGAGAAGGGAGCACTCACTGGAGAAGACCCTGATGCTGGGAAAGATTGAAGGTCAAAGAAGAAGGGGACGGCAAAGGATGAGATGGTTAGACAGTGTTATCGAGGCAACGAACATGAAATTAAGCAAACTCTGGAGCACGACGGAAGACAGGAGGGCCTGGCGTGATGTGGTCCACGGGGTCGCAAAGAGTTGGACTCGACTGTGCGACTGAACAACAACAGCACCTTAAAGAGTAACAAAATTTGCAGTAGGGTATGAACTTTTGTGAGTCACTGCTGTGACTTCATCTGAGGAAGTGAGCAGTGGCTCACAGAACCTCATACCCTACCACAAATTTTGTTAGTCTTTAAGGTGCTACTGGACTCTTTTCTCTTGCTGTAGATTGTATCTCTATTTTTGTCTTGTGGAGAAACAATATCCCACCCTGTAACTACCAACCTCTACCCTGAGATTGTTTCAAGCCATTAGTCATTGATCAAGTGATCATACTGAGTGTTCCAGCATATGAAAAAAGAACACCAAAAATTCACAATTGTCCACCTTTTTTAAAAAAAAAGTGTACTGTATGTCCAAAGGTTTATGATCTTAGGTCGTATAAGGGTCTGTTTAGTTGCAAATCAATATACTTTAATAGTTATAGCAGCCAATTTTTATGTCTTTGCTTAGAGAATATATTGAATTACATAATAGGAAAATTGATTTAAGGCAATTTACAGGGTTCCTCCCTTACAGGTATCTAAAATGGAGCCTCTGCTCAATTTAGAATCAGCGGGGAGGATCAGAACAGCCCGAAGTGGTGGTGGAAAAAATACAGAAATGAAGTTATTTTACTGTTTATGTTATTCTGGAGTGAGCGGCCATTGCTTGAAAAGATAGGTATAAATGCACTCTAATAATAACAACAGAGTTTTAAAAAATTCATTTTTCCAGCCCTATAAGTAGAAGGTACTGAACAATGTGGAAGCTCTGCTCTGTACTAGTGGATTCCTACCCAAAGAAACAGGATATGATGGTGGTTATGACAGATGAATGAAAAGAAGAGAGCACCAAATATAAACAGGCCAGCCTCTGGATTTCCCCTGAAGCACAGCTCCATTGTCAGTCCTCTGTATGCCCTTTGAAGCCCCTTGTTATCCCAGCCTTAGGCCTCTTGAGCTTTGAGCCAGGCCTGCCAAATAGCACAGCAGTTTTGCAATAGGAATGCCCCACCCAGAATTGTCCCAGTGGGCAGGGCAGACTCAGTGACTTCAGCAGCACTTTACAAATGAATGCTGGGAATGGAGCGTCCCCATGTAGAGCCAAACACATGTGCCTCTAGTAGTCCCACACATGCCCTGGAGCAGAGAAAGAACTTTGAAATGCTCAACAAGCCTGTGTTTGAGACTCCCTCCCTCTTCCTCTTGCAATCACAAGACCTTGAAAATTGCCGGGGGAATGGGGCAGTGTTCTGAGATGCTACAGAAATCTTGGCAAGAGAGGGTGGAGAGAACACTCCGAAAAGGCAGCAAGAGCAAGCAGTCTTGGGAAGATAAAAATAAAAATACTATCTACCTGAAAGCAAGACTTTCTCCCCACATATACTGTTAAGAAAAAGAGGGAGTTGTCTTAAATGTCCATGCAAGTTACTTTTAGGAAGATTATCTTACGCTTAGGGTCATCTTCCTTTTGGGTGAATACAGTACTGTGGGCTGATAAGAGTTGAAGGATGTGAATAAGGTTGCCAGTGTTTATACTGGGCTCTGTTCTGTGCCTGAGCAGCTGATCAACAGATATTAGATGAAAATGCTTATTTACATATGATGTAAAGTCACCTTAATTTCTGCAGATCAAGCAGCTGTTAAAGATACATGATGAGGCTGGTTTCCCACCCGCCACCCTGAGTTCATTTAAATATGGATATGGGGTTCCTGTGTTAACTTTTCCTCCTTAAGTGTTCAGCGACCTTTCCATATTATTTAAACAGAACGAACAGATTTTCTTCTAAGGTTATAATAGCATATTTAATTTCATTCTGTTGTCATGACTTTCCTCAAAAAATCCTGGTAGTTGTTATTCAGTGCTGAGGAAGTTTAAATAGAAATCCATAGGTCTTAAAACGTCAGTTCCCCACTTCCCAGGGGTCCCTGGCAAGAAGAACTGATTGTTGAATTTTCTTGTGCTAACCCCAGTGTAGTGATAATAGCATGATAGCTTTTTACGAGGGGACTATACAGATGCTCTGCACTGGAGGGGTATAGTTGGAGAGCAAAGACTTTTTGAAAGAAATCATACAGGCAAGAGAGAATGAGTTTGTTCAGTCTCTTGACGCTTGTGATGCCCCAGGCATTATCTAACATGTGCTTGTGATACTGAGGCACTAATATACTACAACATGGCAATCAGTGATACACATTTCAGCAAGAGAATAATCATTTCCCCATTAATGCAATATTGCTGCTTAGGTACTGAGAAATAAATGCTTCTTAGAGGGAAGGTGGCTGGATCTTGCACGTCATTAGAGCAATGGCCATGTGTTTCGTGCAAGAAGAAAAGAATTGTTAGGAAAGATGCTAAGATGAGAATGTTCTAATCAGATTTGCTTGTTGACTGGTATGATTATGACATCAAAGGAGTCATGACCAATGACAATGAGGCTGTTTCCCCTTTGTCTGGATTCCCTCTTGGATGGTGGCAGTGTTGTGGAGCTTTTATTGGATTCAGGGGCTAAGATCCCTCAGGAGGGTGAAACTTCCAACCATCCTGGATGAGGACACCCCCTTACTTCTCCCCACTTTAGGGGTTGAAGGCAATTGACAAGGGATCAAGAGCAGGAAGGGTGGTATAAGGGAATGTTTGCTCTGAGAGGGGAAAAGAACTTGAAATTGTCTGAAATAATGTGACTCAGGTTTCTCTGATCTTTCCTGTTGTTTAAAAAGAATGGGCATATGTTCTTACAAGTAGCAGTGGTGTATTCTCCCCCCCCTCCCAGGATATGTAAAAGAGGATATGTTACCTTAGAAAGTTTGTGCCAGAAAGAGAGAAGGAGTCCCCTTGTCCCACTTCACGAGGCATTCTGCATGTGTATCTCACAGTTGCATCCTGGGTGTCTTTCACATGGGGGCAATTCCCCATTGTGGACTCACTGCTGCTGCGAATACAGGGGCCTTAGCAACAACAATAGAGCATCCACACAAGGCTGTTCTCTAGTTTTCTCTCCCCATCCCCTTGCAACAGCCACACCCCCACACACACACATCTTGAGTTTTTTTTTAGGAATATTACTATTGTTTTACAGCAAGATACTTGCTCCTGATTTTTGTTTTAAATGGTGGGGGGGAGCCCTCTGGTAGCAGGGGAGAAATAGGGGAGATGAGGAGATGGGTAGGAAAATGACATTGAATGTAGGCGGGGCGGTTTGGAAATCTGGGCCTTCCTATCCACATGTGGGCTTGTATGCTTTGACTCTGATGTTTCCAGAAATGTCGAATTAGAGCAGGTTCTGGAAGCACTGGAGCAAAGGAGATGAAAATGCAGAAGGCGAATAGGGGGAAAACGAAGCTATATGGATGCTCCCAAAAATCATACTGTGGTTTGAGTGCTGAGGCAGAACAAATCATCTGTGTGGAAGCAGTCCTGGTCCCTTACATAAAAAGTGACAGCAGACCAAACACATAGGCTTTTGGAAGAACTGGGAACAAAAGCTGGGTGGGTGTAACACAGGTTCCACAAATCTCACTTTGCTACCAACCATATGTTTATAAGTTTCATTTTACGAGCAATCTTATTATTCACCCTTGAATTTCTTTGATTCGTACCCACAATAGATTCCTTCATCCCATCCCATAATCCTAAATTACAGTAGCTCATTTGGTCCCCCCCCTTCTCTCTCTCCCTCTCCACCAGCAGCCTTATGTCTCAGTGGCTCAGCAGATGGCACCCCCAAGTCCTAGTGGCAGCAGCAACAACAACAGCAGCAGCAGCAGTGGGCCAGGCGGTGGCGGTGGCGGTGGGGACCAGCTGAGCAAAACCAACTTGTACATCCGGGGTCTGCACCCAGGTACCACAGACCAGGACCTTGTCAAGCTGTGCCAACCGTAAGTGACCAGGCTGTAGAAATGTGGAAGGAAGGTGTCTTGATGTGGTCGGAGCTAAAAGAGCCAAGGACCAATGAGACAATTTATTGCCTGCACGTGCTCTCATCTGAGTGGCAATATCCCGAGTTTTTGACCTATTCAGGCCTTGTGAGGTGGGGTTCTCAGAGTGTGCCACAATGTCCAAGCTTCCCAAAATACATTAGTAACACCCAGTGAACTACAAAAAGAGTGGTGGTTTTCTCCATATCCCTTTCCCTTCCACCAGACACCTGAAAATATTTTTCCTGGGGTCACAGGATCTAAGTGGATGAGCAGCTGTGGGGGTTGGGGGAACTATCTGTTTCCCCCTCATTTCAGCCAGTTTGGTGTACTGGTTAAGAGTGTGGACTCTAATCTGGGAGAACTGGGTTTGATTCTCCACCCCTCCACATGCAGCTGCTGGTGTGACCTTGGGTCAGTCATAAATTCTTTCAAAGCTGTTATCTCAAGGGCAGTTCTCGAGAGAGCTCTCTCAGCCCCACCTACCTCACAGGAGGGTGTCTGTTGTGGGGAGGGGAAGGGAAAGGGATTGTAAACCGCTCTGAGACTCCTTCGGGTAGTGAAGGGCGGGATATAAATCCAATCTCTTCCTCTTCTTCTTCTGCTTCTCCAGCCTATATGGCTGTTCATCCATGTGGGTCCCATGCAGGAATAATCTTTCCAGGGGTTGAAAAGAACTTGGGGGCAGGGGAGCATAGAGAAAATCAGTGCTCTGTCCTTTGGTAGTTGGTTGAATACAAAGCAAGGTCTGTTGAATACACAACACACAGAGACAAATGAGCCGCCAGTGGGACACCTGGATGGACTAACAGGGTGAGTTTAAACTTTAGGCGAAGCAAAAAGTGACTCGATAGCCCCCAAACGGATAGATAATGAATGCCCCAAAGAGTAATTAACATGTGAAATTCACTACCACAAGAAGTGGTGGCGGCTACAAGCATAGACAGCTTCAAGAGGGGATTGGGTAAATTTATGGAGCAGAGGTCCATCAGTGGCTACTAGCCACAAGGTATAGATGGAACACTATGTCTGGGGCAAGTGATGCTCTGTATTCTTGGTGCTTGGGGAGCAACAGTGGGAGGGCTTCTGGAGTCCTGGCTCTGTTGGTGGACCTCCTGATGGCACCTAGGTTTTGGCCACTTTGTGACACAGAATGTTGGACGGGATGGGCCACTGGCCTGATCCAACATGGCTTTTCTTATGTTCTCTTATTAATTGGACAAAAAGGGGCCTAACTTGAGACCATGGTGTTGTCAGTAGAATTGCATCCTCCTTCCAACTGTTTGCATTTTTCTGATGAAGGTTGGAAGCTGGTAACACAGTGTTGACTCCAATCCTCCACTTCAGTTTTATAAGCTACCAGCCTGCAGTATGGTAAAGGGGAGCATTTAACATGTGTGAAAAAGCAGCCACGTGCTGGAACCCACTACCATGAGCATGATATGACTTCCTGGATACTTATTGGGAGTCTGTTTCCCACCATCACAGCTCTAAGGGGGATGGCCATGCTGCTTACCTCCCACCTCCCCCCATCCTCCAATTAACAACGGCAGCAATTCTCCCTGCTCTTGCTATGGGATTCCATAGTTCTAGTGCTGTTCCTACACTGCACTGTCCTGCTGACATTTGTGGGCCCTTGTGAGTGCCAGTGGTCCCCTGCATATTACTGCAGTATTCCAGCAGCCATGACTGGAAACAAGTATCCTTTGACCTCGTTCTGATATCATGAGCAATCTGATGAGGTGGTGTGCAAATATCTGTATCCCACGTAAAGGAAGTTTGGGAGAAGGAAAAAAATGTCTGAGGTTAAATACGGTGTACCGAGGTATTTATGTAGGGAAGGCCGTGTGTTTACGTTTCCTGCCATGGTGTGTCCCTCTACACTTCAGCAGTCCTGGCCTGAAGGAGACTGAGCCAGGCGATGGTGCTTGAAACTAGGAGACCAGGAGGGGCAGCTGGGCAGGGGGCTGTTTCTCCATTTACCTCAGCTCACCCCAGCTTGGAATGCTGGATCCGCCCCTGAAGCCACACTTGACAAACAGGCCTACTTCAAAAGGAGAATGGAGAATGCCGGACTGAGCATGGGGGAGGAGGAGGGGTTTGGAAGCAGAGGAAGGAGACAGGGAAGGGACTGGGCCTAAAAGTGAATATTGGCAGTGGCTGGGAGCTGAGGGTTCTGGGTGACGTTCCTAATTTTGTCGCTCTCAGTCATTATTTGTGTGTCTCTTGGTTCCCACGTGCAGAAAGCAGTCGTCTCCTTTTCTCCACTGCTCTCTCAGGCCCGAGATCCTCCTGGCACAACCATTGCATTCAGTAGGAGCCATCCCTTTCTGAAACCCTGCAGCTGGACTCCTCTGTGTCCTGGCTGGGAGGCGCCACTACTTGGCTGTTCCTGGCGCCGGTCGGATTTCCTGGGCTTGTCTTTTGCCGGGCAGGAAATCCTGCTTTGGGTTAGCAGGAAGCATTGGGGGTGAGGTTGGAGGGCAGCTAAGATGGACTCTGATGTTTTTGACAGTGGGGAGAGAGTGGGCTATTTTTAAAGGGTAAACCAATTTTTCACGGAACATTTGTGTTGGGGTTTTGTAATACACCGAAGCTATTTAAAGTTACGATACTAGAGAGTAAGTCCCAGTGAACCTCAGTGGAATTTTCTTCTGAGTGAGCACACAGCAAATTGGCCACACAGCCGTTTATGTGATAATACTAGAAAGGAATGCCAGTCCTTGGGGAAAGGGGGCTAAGAGTTACAGACCCTTTTGGCTGGAAGACTCCATCTGACCATGCCACCATGGTGATTTCCCTCTGTGGCAGGACTGCTGCTAAGAATGCCAGGGTGGCCAGTACCTATTGAAGGTACGTATAAACATATACATATTCTCTTTATCATGGTGGCCATTAAAATTTTATTTATTTATGATTTAGATTTTTTTATCCCTCCCTTCCGTGCACACAGGGCTGGGGGGGGGCCTCACAACAAACTTAAAACACAATAAAAAAGAATAAAACAGTAAAACATTCTACAGCACAATAAATTAACAAATACCAAGATGGTTCAAAGGTCTATAAAATGCCCAAGCTTAAAAAAGGGCAGTGGGTGAACACCCCCCATGATGACAAGGGGGGGATAATGCGGGGGGGGGCAGAACAATAGAACTCTTGTTGCTTCAACCAAAGGCCCGGCAGAACATCTCCGTTTTACAGGCCCTGCGGAACCGAAGCAGATCCCGCAGGCCCTGGATCTCACTCGGGAGAGTGTTCCACCGAAAAGGGCTCTGGCCAAGGCTAAATGGATGTCCTTAGGGCCAGGACCTTGAACTGGATCCGGTACTCCACTGGGAGTCAATGCAGCTGGTGGAGCACTGGTTGGATATGTTCTCTAACAGGCATCCTTGTGAGAACATGTGCCACTGCATTTTGAACCAGCTGGAGTTTCCGAGTCAGCCTCAAGGGCAGACCACCGTAGAGCAAGTTGCAGTCATCCAGCCTGGAGGTGACCATTGCATGGGTCGCTGTGGCTAGGCTGCAAGGTTGGGAGATAAAGAACCAGTTGCCTGACCAACCAAAGATGGTAAAAAGCTGTTCTGGCAACGGCCATGACTTGGGCCTCCATAGAAAGTGAGGCATCCAGGATCATGCCCAGACTCCTCACCATCAGTGATGGTGTCAACGGTACCCCACTGAGGGTGGGGAGCTGGATTCCCAAATGGGATCCCCCACCCCCCAGTGACACAGGCACAGGACCTCTGTCTTGGAAGGATTTAATTTCAGGCGGGTCTGCTGCAACCAGCCAGCCACGGCTTCCGGTGCCCTGGCCAGAACCTCTGGGGTGGCATCCGGTTGGCCATCCATCAACAGATATAGCTGGGTGTCATCAGCATACTGGTGACAACCTAGCCCAAACCCCTGGACCAGTTGAGTGAGGGGTTGCATGTAGATGCTAAATAACATAGGGGAAGAGGATCACCCCCTGTGGGATGCTGGTACACCAGAGCGTAGCACCATGAAACCCTCTCCCCGATCGCCACCTTCTGCCCCCGTCCGTGGGAGACAGTCTCAGACTTAGACACATTGTATGCCAGGGCTCCTGGTGCTTTCTGGGGGAGGGGGGAACAATCTTCTGCACCAAGAATAGTCTAAAATCTTAATTATACAAAATGGCCCATACTTGATTATGCTGCACAAGAGGGGAACAGGAATTTATACAGAACACCAAACCCCCCCAGTCCCTGTGTCTTGGAAAGTCTTGCTTTGGAGGTTTCTTTGAGGACCGCTTGTTCATTTTCAAACATATCTATACATCCATGGGGGTAAGACCTTATTCCTTTCTTTCTCTTTTATTGAGGTGGAGTTACACATCTTTATTAAACTGATACATGAACATCGGATTTTTAAAATTCTGCATGGGATCCTATATTTGATTCTTGCTCTGTATGATCATGGATCTACAAAGTACACAAGTATATTGCAAACTAAACCGTAAGGCGGATTTTTAAAATTCTGCATGGGATCCTGTATTTGATTCTTGCTCTGTACAAAGTACACAAGTATATTACAAACTAAACCGTAAAGCTGTGGGCTGTTGTATCATGCCTGAGGTTCCGTCTCATACACCAGGCTTATGCCTGTCCGCCGTTCATTTGCTGGACAGGTTTGTGCTGTGTCATCACTGAACCTCACTTTTGGCAACCTTGTGACCTACCCACAAGACTTCTGTCTCTTGGATTAACCACTAATCTGCTAGATGTTACTTTTCTTTGGCAGCTGAGGTCAAGGTTTTACCCTGGAAACTGTTTTCAGTCAGCCGTCTCAACAGGTTTGCTACTTGTCAACCACATATCTCTCCTAGTGAACACCTCTAACACTTGGAGAAAGAGAACCTAATAGCCATGTGCTGGGATGCTGGGATTGACTGTCTCACACATGCCATCCATATTTACATATGGTTCTCTTTCAGATATCATAGGTGTTCACTGTGAGATAAATCAGCATCAAGTGTCTTTTGTCATGTGAAGTGGGAAACGGCCTGTAATTAGAATTCGACTCTAAGAAAGGTTGCCACTTTTTTCTCCCATCTCGGGGCGCTTGTGCCTTTAGTAGCTGCACAAAAACAAAACAATGGGTTGCCTTTAGTAGCTGCACAAAAACAAAACTGTTAATGGATGAAGTGGAAATGCTGTGATGCGGACAGTGGAATTTCTTCCCATTTCTGGAATTGGATAAAGGCTTCCAGGGTAGAGAGCAGGAGTTCCAATCATGTTTGAGGGCTGGTGCCTCATGTTTCAGAAACTCAGCTAAGGAGTTGTGTTTCCAAGGCTCTCAAAGCTTATTGGATTACATATTTGTGGAGAAGGAAGCATTTTGGTATATTTCGGCATGTTAGTTACTATGGGAACTGTGTTGAATTCCTGCACTTGCCTTTGTGTCTTTCCCACACTCCTAGGTATGGCAAAATTGTGTCCACCAAGGCCATTCTAGACAAAACGACCAACAAATGCAAAGGTGAGTGCTCCATGATGGATCCAGTATTTGGCTGTGTGAGGACAATGTTGCATAGTGGGGTGTGCTGGGGGAAAAGCGAGGGGGCTGGCCTCAGAGCTAGGATGCTTTGGTTCTGCTTGTGGTTTCTGAGAGGAAGAGTTAGGAATCGGCCCGTCTCAGTTCATTCTTTACCCTTGGGGTTGCAGTCCAAGCCCCAGGAAATATCTTTTCCCTTCCATCTGCAGTCTCAGGGGCTTCTAACCCTGAAAACCAAACGGGAGTGGAAGAGAGGAGAGGACCAGGATGGAAGCCAGGAGCCAAGTTTCTAGGGGAGGACAGGTTCAGTCTGGGAGGTCCTGTGGGGCTGTGTTATCTGTGTTTTAGGGTGGTATGTGTGTGTGGAGGAGGAGTTACATTCCTGTCATGCCAGACATTGCTGAGGGGGGAGGGATGGAAGAGCATCCGCTTAGCTTAACTCAGCTCAGCGTGGAGGGAGTCTGGAAGTGGGAAAGAGGGAAGAGCCCGAAGGGTCTGGGAATATGACAGGCCCTTCCTCCCTTTCTCTCCTGCCAGTGTTTGCTAAGTTGCCCCGTAGTGTTACCTCAAATTGGCCCCCAAACTTTCATGCTGACTGCAGTGGTATGCTAAGGGGTACTGTGCCATAAAGAATGAAACTGGAAGGATGAGGAGAAAAGGAGTGGGGAGTGTCATAGGAGTGAGGATTCTGCTCTGTAGGATGGGCTCCGAAAAGGGTTCTAACCTGTCAAAGCAGACTGTGGGCATCACTGAGGGGTTCTGTGTATGAACAGCTGCTGTGCCTCACAACCAAGATCCTCAAAGTCTGTCATGTTTTCAATTGTACAGGATATGGCTTTGTGGATTTTGACAGCCCCACAGCAGCCCAGAAGGCCGTGACTGCACTGAAGGCTAGTGGGGTGCAGGCCCAGATGGCCAAGGTAGGATCCCAGTACTCATAATATGTCCTGCAGGGGGTGATGGGACGTCACTGTTTGCCTCAGTAGTATGAGGATGGAAGGACAGGGCTGTCTCCAGGCTAAAACTATAATTTAAAAACACCGCATTGTAGCCACAGCATGTTCCCCTCAACAGCATCCAGCTCGAGCAAGGCCTTCCCCGTGGCCAATTTGCAAGTATGTTTTGGTTCCCTTACTGCAGTGCCAGCGGTTTTTGTCTTCCACTGGGTTTATCCTGCAGTGCTGCTGTGACATTGAAAGGGCACCTTTAACACCACAGAATCTGGGGTTGGCATGGCAATGCTTGTCCTGTTTGCCGTGAGCCCTTTCCACAGTCCCATGGTGCCAGTGTGACTGTGAAGAGCTTAAGTTTTGCTTTTGGGGTTCAGCCAGCCATTTTGCTACAAGCAGAGCAAAGACAGCAGCGTACTTTCAGATGTATCCCAGTGTTGTGTTACTACTGCTGTCCTGGATCAACAGCCAGCTGTTTTGAAGTCCCAGTGTAGCTCCACATGTTATGCAGCAAAAGTTGTACTATGGTTTTGTGCCAGCATTTCCTACATTAAAGAGAAAGGACAGTCTAGCAGGAGTGAGTTCTTGGGGATGAGATGTACTATTGCTAGGCAACAGCCTGACTTCCCTGTTTCTATAGCAACAGGAGCAGGATCCTACCAACCTATACCTGTCAAATTTGCCTCTGGGCATGGATGAGGCTGAATTGGAGTCCATGTTGAAGCCATTTGGACAGGTCATCTCTACACGCATCCTGCGTGATGCTAGTGGCACCAGCCGGGGAGTTGGCTTTGCCAGGTAAGACTGTGCGTTTGTGTATGTGCATGTTGGGATGGGCATCTTTATGAATAGGCCTGCTGAGGTATGGGTCTTTGGACAGGTGGTCATATGGAGGTGGTTGCATGTATAGATATGTTTGCCTTTATGCAGTATGTTCATATGCTTTTCGTAACAGATGTGGAATCATTTGCCTGTGATCATAACGCTCCCTTTGCTCTCACTGGAGTGGAACAAGGTAACACTAGGACCACACACCTGGATGGGCCACACTCCTTTATCTAAGCATTTCTTGCCACAAGAGCTTTTTTAAAAAACACGTGTGGGGGGCGACTTAGACAAATGCGCCATTGTGCATTGAATGTGCAGTTATGCTGGGGTGTGTGCAGTCTCTGCCCTTCCCTGGTTGGCCCAGGCTAGCCTGATTTCATCAGATCTCAGAAGCTAAGCAGGGTTGTCTCTGGCTGGTATTTGGATGGGAGACCTTAAGGAATACCAGGGTCATGATGTGGAGGCAAACCACCTCTGAATGTCTTTTGCCTTGAAAACCCTACGGGGTTGCCGAAAGTTGTCTGTGGCAAAAAAAAAAAGTGCTATCTCTCACGCTGGACTAATTGTACGTATTCCCCAGTCTTCCTTGCACATGGAGAGTATATAGGGAGACAGGGATAGATGGGGAATATTCTTGGGGCCTCCATCCCTGTGGCATCAATCCAGGAGGGGGTGGGGGACTTATTCACATGTTACAGTTTATATACGCTGCCTTATTCCTGAGGCTTAGTGTAGCTCACACGAGGATGGCTTGCTAAATTGGGAGTGATGAACCTGCAAGTGAGAATTGTGTCTGTTCTCCTCAATGCTCCGAGCCAGCCTCTTACGCTTTGCAGAGGATTCCTGCAAGCCAGTCTTCCACCCCAGCAGTATGATGTCGTCTGGCTCATGGTGTGAGTCAGTGCCAGCAAAAGGTCTTCATGGATTAGGCTCTGGAAAAGCCACGTGGACCACTGATTTCTGTATAACTTCTCCGTATGTACATGCTCACAGGATCACTTTGTAAAATATGAACCCTTGAGAATAGTTGGAAGAAATCCTCCGGCACGTGGATTTCAGGTGTGCTGGCAGTGCTCCACCTAAGTAACCTCCTTTTTCTTGGCAGGGCTTGTGTGCATGACAAGTAGAAATTCAGCAGGTAGGGCATTTTTTTGTCACTGCACCTCCATGCAAGGAAAAGGTCTCCCTGTTATGGGGCTGTTAGAGGCACAGAAACCCTACCAGCAGAAGGTGGTAGCTTTCAGTCTACAGCATTTCCAGCAACGTGGTCCCATGAACTCTCGGTAGTAAAAAAATAAAATGGGTGGAAGCCCAGGGTGATTGTGGCCTCTGCCAACAGGAGTGAGTGGTCTGCAACTCTATATGTGGTGGTGAGGCTGAGGGCCTAACTCGGGAGAATTGCATTCTCCTTCGCATCTCCTCCATGTCCGCCCTGCTTCATATGTGTAGTGATCAGTTCCATATGAGTTTTCTTAGAAGGACAAATAATGGATCTCCAAGGCCATTTCAGGCTGGGAAAATGGTGTGTGTGGGGGGGAGGCATAAGTTCCTCTCCCTGCGCACTGTGGTCCCTCCCCATTCAAACTGGGCCCACACTATCCTCGGAACTAATTTGTGATTGTGGAACTCTGAGTATGCTTCTGGTCAACCGGCCAGGGATGGACACAAGGACAATGTAACATCTAGTTAGGATAGTTTATAGGAAAGATTCAGTCCTTTCTCTCTGCCCCCCCCCCCCCCCCCCCCCCCCCACCTTTACATACTGTTTTTCTACCCTAGGATGGAGTCCACAGAAAAATGTGAAGCCATCATCACCCACTTCAATGGCAAATATATCAAGACACCCCCAGGGGTCCCAGGTGAGGAGTTCTGTGGCTGGGAAGAGGTACATGGGTTGGCCTGGTCTTGGCGAGGCACGGAGCTTCATGACAGAAATCAGTGTTAGGGTCGATCATGTAGCCTTTACTAATAGGAGTGAGCTACAGTGTGGGCCTCAGGGCCAAGTTTACATGCAGCCAAATCAAGTGATAAAGCTTTCCCTGGACTGTACCATTTTAGGCCTGATTTTAAATGTGATGCTGGTGAAGCAAAGACTTTCCCCTGTCTGCCTTTGAATGGGTGCTGCTGTGCCTCATTTATACTGGGTTGCTACCTACACAAAGCAGCTGTTCAAACTTCATTTGCACACCAAAGATCTCTAGCCATTGTGTATGTTGTGCTGGCATGATGCCTAAGCACACATTGCTTCTTTGGATGCTGGGCGAGTGCAGAGTCCCATGGGTAAGTTCTTTTGCCCCACTAGCTTCACATGTAAATCTAGCCTTAGGACTCAACTACACAGTGCAGTGTTCCTGGATCTGTCTCTGGGTTCTGTCAAGCAGACGTGTTCTGTGAGTTTCTGGCTGAAACTTAGATTCAGATCTGTAGGGGGCAGGGCCGGCTTGCCTGCTAGGCGAACTAGGCGTTCGCCTAGAGCGCGGGCCAGCCTTTAGGGTGCGGGAGGAGAGGCAGGGGTGGCCACTGCGATGGCAACCCTGCCCTGGCTCTCCGGAGAAGGCCACGCATCTTCCAGCGCGGAGGGCGCTGGGCTCACCCGACAGTCCCGCCGCCGCCTGCCTGCAGCTCCTCCTGCTTCTGCCGCTCCTCACT